AGAGAAACGTATGCATGCAGCACGTTGAAGTAGATGGATCGGGACAAGAGCAGTGAGGTGGAGTGGGGTGGGCTCTGTACCTGGGACCTATGTCACCAGAGCCCACTGAGTGGTCCCATGGTTCGGCTCTGGCTTCCTGGTGGCCAGAGAGATGGACACGTCCTCAACCCGAGCTGTGACAGGGGCCGTGAGTGAGAACAGACCAGTGGCCCCTACGCTGTGCCCAAGACCAGGGAGTTTTCCCCGGGGGCTTGCGTAAGTGGTGACTGGGTAACGGCATGGACGTGTCCCCAAGACCAGCGTAATAACAGACAAAAGCCGCTGCTGTACCGTCCCTCCCGCACCGGGGCCTCAGCACAGGCCCACGCGCTCTGAAGGCTGCGCTCGGCTTGTCCACGGGGCAGAGTTGGAACGGGTCCCCGCTGAACGCGTGGCAGCAGTCGGAGGCGGGCTCCTGTGATATGATTTCCCTCAACCAGCTCAGCTGGCCTGTCCCCCCTTATCCTGGGGAATTGGAACCCTGGATTCAAATAAAACCTGGGACAAGCCCAGAAATGTGCCGGCCCCGCGGACCCTTCGCCGGGGTTTTCCAGAGTCAGGGTGGGTCTCGCCCAGTGGGGGACAGCCGGGACTGGGACACTCAGGACAGGGTGCTCACTTCCCCTTTCGCAGCCTCAGTTTCCCCACCTGTGGAACGGGGATCCGTCAGCCCTCCATGCTTCCTCTCGGCTCCGACTTCCCGCTTCCCTGAGGCCCAGCCCGAATGTGGGGATTGCCTGTCAGCGAACGGAAACGTCACTGAGCTTGATCGGCCACGTTAACGTCACCTTGTCCTTCATTCCGTAAATTCCTTTCTATGTAAGACTCGCAGAGTGCCATAGCCCTGGAGGTCACCCAGTTAAACCTCCCTTTAATGGGACACTCAGGACAGGGTGCTCACTTCCCCTTTCGCAGCCTCAGTTTCCCCACCTGTGGAACGGGGATCCGTCAGCCCTCCATGCTTCCTCTCGGCTCCGACTTCCCGCTTCCCTGAGGCCCAGCCCGAATGTGGGGATTGCCTGTCAGCGAACGGAAACGTCACTGAGCTTGATCGGCCACGTTAACGTCACCTTGTCGTTTAAAAAATTTAGCTCTCAAAAGAAATTTCAATCGTTGCACTGTTGATATTTGGCTCTGTTGACTAGTGAGTTTGCCGACCACTGGGCTAGAAGCTCAGGGCCAGCCAGGAAGGTGGCCTGTTGGACAACCCACAGTGAGGCAGGTATGGTGGCTAGTTAAGTGTGGCAGCTAGTTAAGTGTGGCAGCTGAACTAACAACTAGGGAAGTGAAGCAGCTAGCTAGGCATGGCAGCTAGTTAGGCGCAGCTAGTTAGGTGCAACTAGTTAGGCGTGGCAGCTAGTTAGGTGCAACAACTAGTTAGGCATGGCAGCTGAGTCAGTGTGCGTCTGTGTGGACATCAGTCCCGTGCACCTCAAACTCAGAGGCCAAACTCCCCAGATCCTTGGAAAGCACCCACCTCAGCACCCACACCAGGAGGGGAACGCTGTCTGCACGCCCATAGCTCTGCATGTTGACCCCCCACTCCTTTCTGGGGTGGGTTGGGCCGTGTGGTGGCCTCTCGGTGTGAAATCGTTCTTACACGCCTCCCCTTCCTCCTGGTACAGGGACTCAGGCCTGAGAGGTCAGAGGGAGAGCCTGGTTGCTTTCCCGCGGGGCTGCCATTATGTGACGGAAGCCAGGGCATCCATCTCCCCAAGTCCTCCCAGGGCAGACGGGGGGTTGGGGGGTGGGAGGGGGAGGACTGTGTCACTGGTGCTCTGCCAGCACCCGCCCTGACCTGGCACAGAGTCAGTCCCTCCAACGCATCCGTGATCGCTGTGTGTTACCGTTCTAGGTGAGAGAAGGGACAGTTACAAGCTGCGGAAAAAGCAGGAACTTGGCAACCCTCCGTCGGAGGGCAAGGAGGCGGGTGGAACTCATGAAGCGCCCCAAGGCGTCCACCAGAGGTGAGGCCCCACTTCAGGCACACTCGGCCCGTACGTCATGCTTCTCCCCGTGGCCTGAAGGCATCTCGTGTCTACGGGGGCCCGGCCAGGGCCTGGCACAGGGCACACGCCATCAGTGTGGCTGGCCCTGGCTGCGTTCCTAGGTCTAGGTGGCGCCCACAGCCCTGACACAGCACCCCACCTTCTCCCTCATACCTTGGGGTCCTCCAGAAGCCGGCCGGGGCTTGAGGATTGGGAGGTGGGTTTATGGGCGGTGCCCCCAGGAAGCCAGGCAGCCGGGGTCTCTGCTGCTGCCTCACAGGGACCCGCACAGACCCCGCAGGTAGCCGATGACTCACAGTTCTGCGGGTCAGGCGCCTGGGCGCTGCTGCTACTTCCCCGAGACCCACGTGGCCACATCAGGTGCGGGCGGGCCAGGCCCTGATTGCGGGCTCCGGGCGGGCGCTCCAGGCAGCGGCCCTGCCTTGGAGAAGGAGGTCCTGTCTCCTTGTGGCTGTGAGTGGGGGTCCCCTGACCGCCTAGCGGCCTCTCTCTGCTCCCCGCACGTGGCCCCCACATCAGGGGCAGCAGGTCCCGGCCACACCTGGGACTCCCTGCCTTCTTCCCCCTGGTCTCTGGCTCCAGCTGGAGAGACCTCTGCTTTAAGGGCCCCGCTGATGGAGGCACCTGTAACCCAGGTCCTCTCTGAATCCCACAGTCATGCCCTCAGCAGGACCGCCAACCCCCACGTGGCGCAACCTCTTCACGGGTTCCAGGGATTAGGGCGTGGACGCCTGTGGGGACACTGTGTGGCCGACCCCCACGGGAGCACAGCCAGCACCACCTGCGATGAGGGTTTCCAGGGCAACAGAGGCCGGAGCACTGCCCTCTGGGTATCACAGCCAGGTGTTCCATAGCGATCCCTCGCCCCCCAGCTCGAGCAGGGGCTCCGGGAAGGCAGGGGCTGTGAGTCTCTCACTCACGCTTGCATCTTCAAAACCCAGCACAGAAGATGCTTTTATGAAGGAACAAAGGAGTGGATGGGTGGGTCCATGCAGGATGGGTGAACGGATGACGGGGTCTTGTAGGATGAATAGGAGTTTGCCAGGCAAATAGAAAGAAAAGAGCGTGAAGCAAAAGCCAGGTGGCATTTTGTGCCTCAGTGCACTTCGTGGGCCGCTGCCTGTGATGCAGAAGGCGGCTTCTGCCTTTAGGTCTAGAAATTCAGCAAATCAGACACAAAGGACAGAGAAGTGGGCAGAGAGTAATCCTGGAAGCAGGTGATGGGGTTGCAGAGGCCAGAGGACCGTGGGCCAAGGAAGGGAGGGAGTTCACACAGCCAGGGGAGGTTTCAGTGCCTGAAAGGGCGGGGGAGGGGGGGGCGACTTTTCGGGTCGGGGACCCGCTTTCGGCCAGCTCTGTCCTCTACTCAGAGGGACTCAGCTTCCTGGGGAAGGGGAGGGGCCAGGGCGATCCTGCACTGTTAACAAGGAGCGCGCCCCCACCCTGGCTAAGATCGTTTTCTCACAGAAAAACGTCACCTGCTGCTCAGCCACTTTGCAGCTGCAGGACCCCAGGGACACCCTGCCCTTCTGGGCTTCTCCTGTCCCCAACTTTTCTGATCTCTGTCCTGCTGGTGTCACCAAGCCACTCAGTAAAAATGTGCCGAGAGACTCCGTAACCCCCAGAGTGAATCGCTTTCGTGGTGAGCCAGCCTGTGGGCGAGGGGCCCTCGTGTGGCCGCAGATCGAGGCCATTCTTCTCTCGCAGCTGTGGGTCACGGGCCTGCAGGACGCAGCGGGCCCTGGGGGTTGGCTCTGGGTCTGATGCTCCTGGCGCCCGGGCAGCGCTGACGGCCGTTCCCTCTGCCAGGATGCGGGCACAGCAGAAACGGTTCCTGGCCCAGTTCACGGCCCACCAGCGCACCCGCCTGGACTCGTGGCAGCAGAGGGCGCGGGGCCTGGACCTCCTGGAAGCCCAGCTGGAGACGCAGCTGCAGGTACAAGTTTGGAAGCAGGCCTGGGCGATGCGGGCAGGGCTTAGCGGGGTGGCCACAGCAAAGACTGGCCCTGCCATCAAAGGTCAGCGATGGGGCCTTGGTGAGGGGACGCCTGCCCCGCTCGCTCGGGACCCCTCGGCTC